GTTGAATGGGCATAGAGTTGCCCAGGGCCAGTCTGAATATAGTCCTCTGTGTAATCCTGAAACAGCAAGACGTGCCTTTTTACTCTTATTTTTAATTGTTGAAACTTAACAGCTTCTGGTATTTTTTTTTAAAGAAGAAGCAGGCTGTGGGTGCCTCTTGACCACCTTTACCTTCACATCAACATCAGCTGCTGCCTGGAGCTGCAGCACGTGGCCACTCACAACAACATCCAGCAGCAACGCCCCGTCTGAATCCAGGCCCCGGGCAACGTGCGTCATTCGCAGGATCTCACCTGTGGATTTGAAGAGCACATGGATTTATAAAACATCCCGACCAGAGCCTCACAGTATCTGAACTGGGACCCCTTGACCATTTATTTTATACTCATATTTTTATGAGGCACACACCATGTCGGTAATAAAAACCATCAGGTTTCAAATCACAGCTCTCAAAGCTGTATTTAAGCCTCAGAAAGCCAGTCATGAATAAAATAGTTGCATAATCACAAGACTCAAAATTCAGCACCAGTTTTGTGCTATTTTGGAAGAGATGCAGTATGTTTCCACCTTCCTGGAGACAGGAGGAAATTGGTATCTCACAGGTAACTAACCCGTTGCAAACTCCACTTGAGTTTCTCTCTTGAAGACCCCATCAGTGAGTGTAAAACCATTCATTGCCTCCCCAATTTCCTTTGCAGTTGTCCAGTAAACTGGGCTGAGTATGGAAACCAGCTTCCTCATCGCTGGACCTGAAAGAAACACAACATCTGAGAGCTTTTTTCTAACATCAGGCAACCCACACCAGCAGGGCTTGAATATGAAGATGTAAAACTAGTGCAACCCTTACAAGGAAAAAAAGCCTACCAAGGCTCCGGGGGACATTTGTAACCTTTGCTTGTATCACTCTAGTTTCAGAGTCAGGACTGTCTGTTACTGTGACATTCAGGAAGGCAATTCCAAATTCAATATCGTTGATGTTTCCAATGATGCTGCCTTTGGCACGGGCTGGCCCACCTGTGCAGAGAGGGAAGGGAGGAAGGGGGGAAAAACCCATGTGAAAACTGCTGATATTTTGCGGAAGAAAAAAAAATAATCAGAAATGCTGTCCAATATTTTAACAAACAATCCTATTTCTCCATATATTACTACATTACTTGCAAGAGTAAAGCTCATAAGCTGCAAATAACAGGATTCTGTGCATGTGGTCTGAGATACGATGATTTGGGAGTCACCTCAGGCCCTCACCTCTGTCTGAAAAGCAGCTCTTGTTAACCAGCACACCCTAGTGCTACATAACAGGTTAGCACAACACTCCTCCAGCTGACATTGCAGGGCAGAGGGAAGTAAAAAAAATTACTTGGTCAGCTGGCCACAAGACAGGAGAGTGCCTGTCAAATGAGGGTGCCACAGGCTTACAGCACTTTGTCACTGTGTGCAGGCTGAGAGGTGACTCACCAGGACACGCTTGGGTGTTACACCTGGATATCTGGGAGGAGTCCCCAGGACAAGGACGCCCGCGGTTCAGGGGGGCTGGGTTGCTGCACAAGCGCCTCCGGGTCTGCTCTCCTCCTCCACAGGAAGCAGAGCAGGGGCTCCAGGTTTGCCACTGCCCCCAGTTCCCATCCACTGGCGAAAGAAAGGATGAAGAAAGCAACTTTTCATTTTAAATGGCTCAGGTGATAGATGCATCAGTGGTGCTTGTCTTTCCTTCTTGATGGAACCAGTGAGAGTGAGGCAGCACAGGGAGGTCCAGCTCATGGGGGCAGATGCTGTGGGACCCCTGGGGTGTGCAGGTGGGGCCTCACTCAGGGCTTGGTCCCCAGGGTGTGGGGCAGCAGGGTGTTGAATGGGGCACAGGTACACATGCAGCTGGAGCTCCTGCATCTCCCACAGGAGGAGGGCATGTAAAGGGTGTGCATAGAGAAGGAATTAAAAAAATTGTTACTATTATCTCAGAATTAATCATCATGTTACAATAATTCCTTCCTAGGATGAGCTACAGAAAGAAATTTGTAGCTGCTCAGTAAGACTCTAGCAGTGTGGTTGATGTGCTGTACTGCTGGTATTGGACCTGAATGTGCAACCTCACTGATTGCCCCTTAGTTATGTATTGTCAATAAATCAAGTAACTGCTTCGACTGTAATTTTGTTTAAAGCATTTGAGCTGAACATTCTTCCCTGCTCCTGGAAAACATGATGAGAGTTCACTGGGAGCTTCACAAACTGTGTTTACTGTAGAAATTAAGTAGAATTGCTAGGTGTAGGAGAAATTTTAATGTGCTGTTTCCTGGTTTTAATTATTCCACCTCATTCTGGGTAAATCTGAAGGGGGAAATAATGGTGACAGGCATTTAGAGAAAAAAGCGAGAGCAGAATATCAGATTGTAGGAAACTGTAAGTGATGTTTCACATTCCTGTCATAATATGAAAAGTCTCACACACGTCACGCAAACCCTGAAGCCCTGCAGGGAAAGCTGCCCTGGATTCCTGTCAGCCCAGC